TAATATATATATATATATATATAATAATAAAACCACTAACAGAGAAAGAAAATCATGTAAGAAACAAGACATAAAATATTTTTTTAAGGAATGATAGGTTTTTAACCAATATAAACATATGCTTTGAGGTGGACAGAAAAATTCGAAAAAAAATAGAGAAATTCGTTGTTTACAGGTGAGACTTCTAGGAGCTGCCCTGAAATGAAAGTTGAAGAATTTTGAATATGTAAATTAAATAAATGTTCCAGAATGATAAAATATCAATTCTAAACTATCTTTGAGTTACAAATTGTTGAAGTAGGGTTAGAATTGCTATTTTGCCTTAAATTTTGAAATTTGATATACGGGTATGCACTCAACACCCAAAAAATGTTCTCTGGTTATGGTAGGATTAAAACTTTAATTGATATTTGATATATTATTGTTACCATGTAAAGTATTTCATTTTACCTGCAGTTTTTAAGTAATGTAACACTATTGTCTTAACCACGGGCATCCTTTAATTAAACTACTTTTGTTTATGTTATACTAATTAGTATAGCATAAAATCATAGTTAATAATCCATATTTTAATAGTATACAGGTTTTAAGTTCTTAATTTTATAAGGCATTATTAAAAAGAAATCCTGAATTTCCTCTAGTGTGAAAAATGTGACATTTTTAATCTTAACATGAAAATCACTTTGCACTTAATATATTCACGGACAAATCTTAGTTTCTTAAAAATACTTCATCAAAAAATATAATTTTTTGTATGTAAAAACTTGCAATTTTTGTTGAAAGTGTGCCTAATTTTAAGATTCACATACTATATTAAAAGTTAATAGTATCAAAACAATAACGACTTTAAACAAGTACAAAGTGGTCACATGGTCGGTCAATTCGACCAAACCCATGTAGAGAGAACTAATCATGCTTTCAGACTAGGTGTCCAATATAATGCAGCTACAGATGTTGTAATTGTTAAAATGTTGTTAATTATCAATATATTTTACATTTACTATACAAATGATACAAGTTTTATGAATTTAGTTTTGAAGAGTATTAGTTTAAATTACTTCTGTTAATATTATATCTTTTTAAAGCTACACAGAAACCACATTTTTCTGTTATGAATTTAAATCACATAAAATTTTTGGATTCATTTTCCTGGACATAAACAGTAAAGGGTTTTTCCTTAAGAAGTCCAAAAAAATTCTGAAACTGACGACTTTTTTATTGCATAATATTGCCTAATATATATATCTTGCAGTGTCTTGTATAGCTTTTTTTGAACACTTGAAACTTATAATCTAGGATTTTCATTTTGGCACTTGATAATGTTTTATAGAAATGTTAAATTTTCACCATTTGGCTTTCATTAAAAAACATAAAATTTAAAGCAATAAAACTACCATTGTTTTCTCTTACATTTGGTCTGGATATGGCATAGTGATTAGCATGCCTGACTTTGTATTTTAGTGTCCATGACCACATCCCTTGCTGCAAAAAAATGGTTTGCACCTTGAGTCTGTGGATGGATACAGTATAAGGATGATGGTCAAATCTCACTATTCACTTGGAGTAGCCCAAGAGTTGGTGTTGTTGACTAGCTGTTTTTCTTCTTAACTATCAGTTCAAAAATTAGGGCTAACTAGCACAAATAGCTTTATGCAAATACAAGAAATAACCAACTCTTTAAATTTAACTAAATATATTGTTTGTATTTTTATTAACAATTTTATTTCCTTATTTCTTAATTGATCATATCTTTTTCTGATCCTGATTATGGTCAGTCCAAATTTTAAAACAGTTGAACAAGAAACAGAAAAATTATTAAAATTATTCAAGCCTTGGAATGGGTTAAACAGCATTTACAAGTGTGATGAATAGTGTATTTCCATGGAATATTTTGCACATGGGAACGGAAAAATAGTTTCATAGGATTTCATCTAATTGAAAATAATTTCCATGTTTAATTTATTGGTTACATTTTTTCCATCAGAATGTTTAATGGTGTCAACTTTTATGAGTCTAAGTTTCATTAATTTTGTGTTACCATGTCAGTAAAACACAGTAACAAGACAGATGTCAATTTAGAGATGACCGACAGTCCTAAATTGTGGAGAATATATTTTGCTTTTGGCTGGTATATTTATTGAAGTTTTTAAATCCTGTTGACGAATCAAGTGCTGAAAAACTTTTAAAGTTATGTTTAATCTTAAGGTTATGTTTAAAGTGTAAATTTTATTTCTACTTTCAGTTCCGACAGGGTGGAGTGAAGAAAGTACAAAACAGTGGCTCCACCTGTACCTCACTTTACTTCCTGTTAACCACAAACTCATACACGAGTATGTATTCACAAGTATATTACTGGTAAAAAATTATGCTTATGCATTAGAGAATAGTAGCTGAAATTTATCCATCACTGATAGTTTTTGTTTTGAAATAAGTATAAACATTTCTGATTGCTAATGTGTAAAAATGTATTGAATTTTAATGTTATCAGAAACTTTGTACACGTTACTACATTGTTTATCATAAAAAACAACTAACAAACTTGAAACAGTTGTTTGAATTTTGTAAATGTCCATCTGTAAAGATCTTTAATACTTGATGTTTTTTTGCAGTTAGTAAACAAAGAGATGATATTTTTTAAATAATAAAAACAAATATTCATTCCAATAAACTAAGAAATTGGTGAAATATTGTCATCATCTTGAAAATCAGATAGTTAATAAATTATAATAATCTCCTCTTTATCTGGATTCAGTATATTGACAAATGAAGTGAAATTATATTGTATTCTAATACTGGTATTCCTCTTGTTCAAGTCAGATCAACTGATGATAAATAATAATAAATAAAATAACTAATATATTGCAACAAATATCAATTGTTGTGTATTTTTAATTTGTTACAATCATGTTATTTAGTAAAGTAGTATTTTAAACCCAACTTAGCATTCTGTGCATTATTTTATCTGTTTATGTGTACTTTATATTGTTGAACATGCTAAGTTGGTATGAAAATAACAATTATAGTGAATAAGTCACCAAATACACCTGAAGGACATTTTTAAATATTATCCACCCATACAGCATGGAATCTTTTTGTAAAATGACAGTTATTTCACAGAAATTCAAAATATTAAATTTATTTGATATCTTAGGAAAATACAATACTAGCAATATTAGTAATTTTTAAGTATTCTCGAGATTACAAAACCTTACAAAAGTACTGAAAATTTCTAGTTTTAAATAAAACAATCAAAAATGTACATGACACATTTTTTATGAAACAACAAAAACTTTTACACATTTGTTAATGCCATACAGTTTTTTTCTTGGCTCAGGTTGAATATTTTATAATTCATTTAATTTTTTTTATCATTATTGGAAAATATTTATTTTGTTTACAAATGTCTTTATATTCATGATATGATTGGTGTATTGTACTGCTCAGTGTTAATAAGAGATCTGTTATGAATTCCTAATGTTATAAAACGTTGGTAAATTTCTGTAATGATCCTTAGTTACCAGAAAGAAGTGTTTGATGCAGTCAACATTTTTATGAAGAAAACAAGTGTTAATTAAATATTATTAGATTTTAATCTTTACTTCCTCTTGTCTACTGTGCGTTACTGGAATGCATTTATATGTAACACCGTATTATATTGCCTGTTGTATTGATGATTTTTTAGCTTAGCCTCAGTGTATGTGGGAACTGTTGCTGATGTTAAGAGGACCATTTTACGAGCTCTGGAGGCTCCTGTAAGTCCCTCTTTATTATTAGATATTCAAAAGTAGTTAGTTAAAATAACTTAGCTGCTTTCAGTTGATGGCTGCATCTCCAGGTTAACTCTGATGAGGCAGCTCAATCATTGAAGTTGTTTTTTTAGCTGAGATTCAGATATAGTAATATTAAGTGAATAGCTGAATTCCAAAGTTAAGTAATTTTAACTTACATAACTGTAAATAAAAACATAGGATACAAAGCTAGTTAAATTATAATTCAACAGGTTGGAAGCCTTCCCAATCCATTTATGTAAAGGACACTATGTTCTGAAAGTGCATGTTTTATTGGGCCTCTTGAATTACACATTTTGATACATTTACTTTATCAAAGGATTCAAACTCTTCCAACACTCATTAAGTTTTTAACTGCGTAGAATTAACCATATATTTTTGAATATGTGTTAGGGTATTTTGTTAGTTCTTACACTTGAAAAATAACTTTCTATTACTTGGTTGAAAAAAACTACCTGTATTTAATTATGATGTATATTGTCTATTTTTATCTTCTAATAATGTTTTATTCCATTGAATTGTGGTTAAGTGTAGCACTAGTCTTCTTGTATCTGTGCATATACTTTTGTTTTCAGTATTTTAAATCTAGAAAAGAATGATGTGAAAATGTTTAGTTTTTCTCATTTTCCTAAATTATTTGAACCGTGCTATGTCAAGGATGCATTGTGTGCTTATAGCATATTCTCCTGTCTCAGAAATAAAAACTCTGAGTAGGCAGTTGGATGTTATTTTTTAATGCAATAATTTTAAGATTTAAGTTGCCAAATTGCACTATTATCAACTGAAGAAAATTTACATTAAAAATCTATAGATCAAGAGTATTGGTGGAATACTTTAAATTATGATTATTTTTCATTAAATAAGCATTTATGAGTTTGCTTCTGCATTTGATTATAACAAGCGATATGCTGCCTGTGTTCAGGGCAACATATATTTTGATTGTTCGGGAAAAGATTAGAAACCAAGAGTATTGGTGGCACAATGGTAGTAAATAATTCTTTTCTTCAGTTCAAGCAGCTATCCTTGTATGCCTAATAGAATGAACACATAAATGCAGCTGTTTTTTTATTTAGGCATAGTATGGTTTTTGTAAACCACGATATTAGTATGTTTTACCAAAAATGGGTAATTTAAGCTCAATGAGTTTGATCTGTTTCATTGTCTCAGATGTGTTGCTATAGAATTTTCCATGAATCTTTTTTGAAATTTCTGTATTATTATATTTTAAGTGTAATTGTTATGTTTTCCTATCACTAGGTAAAGGGGATGGGGATGAGCTCTCCAGAACTTTTATTGTTGGTAGAAAATTGTCTCAAAGGAGCTGAAACTCTTGTTACTAGGATTATACATATTCTAACTGATAAAGGTAAGATTTTGTTGCTGTGCATATGAAAAGGCTCATTATTGAGAGTGGTCACAATTTACTTAACTAGTGTTTAAATTTAAGTGGGTTTTTATGATTTGAAAAGCTAATAAGATTATTTCAAAACATTTGCTTTATGAAATTCAACACGTGACATACATTTCATTTGGTCTCTCTTTTTTTTTGTACATTACGTATATAGCTCCTCCTTCAGCAGAATTGGTAGCCAGGGTGCGTGATCTTTATCACAAACGTGTCCCAGATGTTCGGTTCCTCATTCCTGTTCTCAATGGACTTAGTAAAGTAAGTAAAGGAGTGTTTTAATCAAGAATTAGTGCACTATACATACCCAGTTTGATGCTGTTAAAACACAGTATTAATAGTTTTATACTAGGCTTACTTGTGGAGAATAATTAAGTGAAAAAGTAAAAATTAACCCTAGAATTTCTGGTGGGGCTTTTTTTAAAACAAAATTATTTAAACTGTTTATGCACCAATTTGCTTGTAGATCCATAACTTTGATATTTACAAGGCTTGTAATAATATGTGGTTCAAACAAACAAAAATGTATTAAAAGAATTTCAATATTGAAGTTAATCCTACTAATTCATATTAGGGTTTCCCATGTTGGTTTTTTATGGATTTTCTACCCAATTTTTGTGGGCAAGTGTTTACAGTGAGTGACATAACATGACTCAACCTGTAGACCCAACCAGTAGAGAGTACTATATAAACAAGTAGCTAATTTGACGGTTAAGGGTCTGTATACACACGTCTTACATATATCATGCATATAATTTTATTTTGATAAAATAAAGAGTGCTTCCTGTATATTGTGTATTAATCATTAAATACTTATAACATTCCAGAAAGTGCTCTATTCCCACCATCTTTGTGCATGGTTTGAAGTGAAAGGTTGAAAGTAAATTGAGAGTTATAAGTTTTTAAGACTTTGGGGAAACAAGATCCAGAGTCAGTGTTCTAATACAAATTGGTGCATTTCATTGTCATGTTGTTTGCATGTATTTGTAAGAATTTTCTGAAAAAAAGAAATGTGATTTCTAGATGAACAAAAACATTGGTGAATATTTAGATGCTTATGAATTTGTTAACTTTACATGAATTATCAGATTTTTTTAAAGATATTTATGATCTGAAAGGTTTATTCACCAGTAAAATACCAACATAAAGTCATTTACTACCTTCTGTTCAATTGAGTCTGTTATGCTGATCATAATGTTAATTTAAAACTAATGCCTACACTCTTCTGTGTTACCTGTAGCAGAAACTTCACATTTTTAAAATTAGTATCCATATTCTCTTGATAATGCTAGTTTCTAATTAGTTAGGGTTGATGAAAGTGTAAGTCTTCAGTTACTAACAGTCATCTATTTTACCATTTATATTTCTAGAAAGAGGTCATTGCTGCTTTACCAAAGCTCATCAAATTAAATCCAATTGTAGTCAAGGAAGTTTTTAACAGATTGTTAGGAACACACGGTGAGTTGGGTTGTTCCTGATACTACGTATACTGTAAAGTTAAGGTAATTTTATAGTTGATGTACAAGTTCAGCTAATTAAAAAGATCTTTCAGACAGCTTTACTTGATGCTAGTGGCTAAAATATCATCAGATAAAAAAGAAAGTGTGATTAAATTTACTTTTTAAAGAAATTAAGGTTTGATTTCCATAATTATGTCGCTCTAAAGTTACAGAATAGAAGTATGTACCTAAATATTTGAAAGTTGCAGGTGGAGGATTTGATGTATCTCCTAGGTATGTTGGAGTTGCAGGTGGAGCCTTTGAAGTATGTTCCTGGGTATGTTGGAGTTGTAGGTGGAGCCTTTGAAGTATGTACCTGGGTATGTTGGAGTTGCAGGTGGAGGCTTTGATGTATCTCCTGGGTATGTTGGAGTTGCAGGTGGAGCCTTTGAAGTATGTTCCTGGGTATGTTGGAGTTGTAGGTGGAGCCTTTGAAGTATGTACCTGGGTATGTGGGAGTTGTAGGTGGAGCCTTTGAAGTATGTACCTGGGTATGTGGGAGTTGTAGGTGGAGCCTTTAAAGTATGTACGTGGTTATGTGGGAGTTGTAGGTGGAGCCTTTGAAGTATGTACCTGGGTATGTGGTAGTTGTAGGTGGAGCCTTTGAAGTATGTACCTGGGTATGTGGGAGTTGTAGGTGGAGCCTTTGAAGTATGTACCTGGGTATGTGGGAGTTGTAGGTGGATCCTTTGAAGTATGTACCTGGGTATGTGGGAGTTTTCAAAGGCTCCACCTACGTATGTACCTGGGTATGTGGGAGTAGTAGGTGAAGACTTTGAAGTATATACCTAGGTATTTGGGAGTTGTAGATGGAGTGTTTTAAGAATGTCCTGGGTATGTGGGAGTTTCAATTGGAGCCATTGAATTATTTGTAAAAGTGTATGTGATCTGGAAATTGCATTGAAGGTTATCCAGAATTAACTAAAACATCAAACTGTTGTTGCTTAGGCTTAGTATTTGTGGTCTTTGCAGTCATACTTTTAAATATTCAATCAAACAATCTTCATAGTTTAATATAATAAAAATCTGTTACTAAAATGTATGGACTTGAACATTTTCATTTAAAGCATTTGAGGACACTTATAATCATACTATAAGCCAAGTAGTTTTGAAAGTTTTTTATTATCTTGGTGGACCCCAGTAGGATTTGTACACTATGCTGCCAATTTTTTTTCCATGATTCTGCAGCCTTTCTACAGACTACCTGAAGGGATTCTGTGAACCTTGTATTTGAAAATTGTTGCCTTAAACTATGAGTTTGGACTATTTGTAAAAAGTGATAATAAATGTAAACTGTTTTCTGAATTACTAGGGGGGATTTATGGTGTTCCTTTTGTGTGTCAGGTTTTACTGACAGATTTTGATACTTTTTATAGCTTTCAAGGTTTGTTGATTGTTTACTTATTTGATTTCCTGGCTGCTGAACGGGGTATCTGTACCTGTGCATGATATAAAAGGTTTATCAGATTTGCTCTTGGGACTTTGATAATGAGAACTGGCAACTACTGAAACACTATTTTTTATTTTTTCTAACTGATGTGTTAGAAGCTCAGGCATGAAATAAAGGTTTGTAATTAGATAAGGTACAAATACTTTTACATGAAAGTAGTTTATAAGTATTGTTTTTATAATTTTGAAATCAGATATTAACTATTTACTCTAATTATATTTTCCTACAACTTTTGAGTTGAAATTTTGAGGGATCTGTTAAATTTTTTCGGTAGTTGGTGCTTTGTATTTTGGATTGTTTTGCAGGCTTTGAAATAGTTTTGTGTTTCTGTCTTACAAAACCTCAATGTTTTTATTTCTCTATGTAATTATCTTTTGCTTGTAACTTTTGGATATTGGACCCTTGTCCAGTGACTACTGTGAAAAATTAAGATGTAAATTTTTACACTTCCAACAGCAAATATTTCTAGATTTTTTTAAAGGAGGAAATGTTTATTTTTATTGCATCTTTAACAAAAAACAAACTTTTTTTTTTTGCAGCCGATGCAGGAACTAGCTTTACCAGTCCTTTAACACCAGCTGAACTCTTAATTGCTTTACATAACATTGACCCTGCAAAATGTGATATGAAAACCATAATCAAAGGTTTGTGATTTAATTTATTATCCTAATCTTGTGTAATTCAAAAAATCTAGTTGTGAAAAATTCATTTCATAACCACTATTAAACTTAGAAAAAATATGAAGAGACATTAACCCTTATGGATTGGCAGAGTGAAGTTATGTAAAAGTAATATTTAGTTTGTGCTTGAAAATACTTGTATTAGTATTTGTGTACTATTTTCGGTTGTGAATTTTCAGAAATTTTTCATTAAATGCTGTTTTCAAAATAATTTTAAAATATAATTCCTTTGTTATTTGTTTCTGTTTTTTTTTCTTGTGTTCCTAAAGTCATATGAATTTATCCAAAATATTATTTTATCAATAAAATTATAATTGGCACATGTGTGTGTTGTTCTAATAACCGAATACTAATTTTTTTCATTTTGTTCATGCAAGTTCTTGAAAAAGAAAAAGTAACTATTAAATGATATGAAAAAAATAAAGAAAACCAAGTTTCTTTTAATATTATTGATCAGAAAGTTTCATTTTATATATCCAATGAGTTCTGATTTACTTTATTTTCTTCAATTATTTCTGTTTGTTATTTATCAGCTGTGTTTTTGATCAAACTCAGTTTCTTTCTATACAGTTATATGCTTTCTAACTGAGTTCTTGGACTTCTGTCTTTTGTTTGAGTAAAAATATATTTACTAATACACAAAAAGTCTTTCTTTCATCTGTGTAGTTTGCCTGTGCAGAACTCCTAGCTTATTGTACTTACTAACCCTAAATATCCTTACCTAATATCTTTACCTGTAAGAATATTTCTGTAGCTTTTATAACAGACACAATATAACACAAAAATATTATTGTGAATCTAAAGACTGTCAAAAGAAACTATAAAAAAATTCCAAGGTTTGTGGCTTGTTCCTAACTTTTGTAAGCTTTGTATTAAAATCCTTTGTTCTCTACTGTGAAATCTTCCACTAGTTGCTTCCTCATAAACCATACACAGCTGCTTACCCCCTTTTTTACTTTACACTGATGTAGACAGACAAGAACATTTTTTATATAATCATTTTTATCCATTGTTTCTCACTTGTTTGGAGGCTAATGTTTGTAGCATTATTTAAGCATCTCTACACAAAGTTCTTGAAATAGTCAAAGAGAGATATATAGAAAGTCACGTGAGAAACTAAACTTGGATAAGTCTGTTTCTATGAGCTGAGATTAATTGCTTTCTATTTTGTTTGGAATTTTTATTTCAGTTATTTATTTACACAAAGAAAATGTTTGTTAAATGACTTGGATATAAATTAGAGGCTATTCTATTAAAATAATCCAAAATTGTTTAAAAAAAAGCAGTTTGTTGTGTGCACTTATAGTTAGATATAGTTAACCTTGTGTCTTTACCTAAATCATGATAGTGTAATAAAAACTAAAATGAACAGTAAAAAAAAATTGTTCCAAACAGTATTTTTACCCTCATGCATTCCTTCTACCAACACTGAGACTTTGGCCTAGTGAAATGTACTTCATACACCTTGTGTCAGCAGATTACTATTGGCATTTTAAATCACTTATTTTCAGTAGCAGTGTTTGTTATATGCTATTAACCCCCCTCAGAAAAATTTAAAAGAAATTTCAGTGAGAACATGATTTGTCAACCTAACCTTTAACCAGTAACTTTGTTTTCTAAAGCTTATTATTAATCATATAAATTTTGGTTATTTATTTGTTTTGTGATTATAGCAACTGTCTATATAT